TGTCCTTTAATTGGAAAAAACTCCTGTACCCCCGCGAGGGCGGAAAAAGGAGGTGTGACAGTATTTACTCGTGCACGCCACGAGTGCTTGAAATTTCAATACCAGAACCTATTCATGCGTCGTACGTACGGATATTTAAAACCTGAGCACAAAGTTTTGAAACCTCGGCATGGGTACCTAGTACTTATATCTACTCAGCACAACTACGTGGAACCTCAACGGGTATCTACAATGCACAACACGAGTGCTAGAAATCTCAATACTCGATACATACCCTTGCTCCGCATGGATACATGGAACCTCAGTACAAGTTTTCAAAATCTTAACATGGTATCTCAGCAGGAGTATTTGGTACCTACCCATGCTCAATACGAGTCCTTAAAACCTCAATAGTATTGAGATTTGAGATAGTTAAATAAGGGTATATTAGTCATTACACACACACACGTGAGAGGCATGTGTAGGTCGATTATTTTGGTTAAATATTGTTCACTCTTGTAACAGAGCATAACAGAGAATGAAATAAAATTTTCTCTCTTCTTCTTCACTCACTTCTTCTCTGAATTCTCTAGAATCTAATGTTTAATCTTCCATGCAACTTTAATTCTATCATGGTATCGGAGCGGGTCATTGAAATCGAGTTGAAATTCTGCAAGATCTGAACATCGAACACTGATTAGAAGCTTTGATTTCATCAGCCATGGCGGAAACAAGAAATCTCCCAATTGATCACAATCACCCTCTGTTTTTAGCAGCTACAGATACACCTGGAGTAGCTTTGCACGATATCAAGCTCACCGGACTGGAAAATTATGATTTGTGGAGTAAATCGATGCGGATGACACTTTTGGTGAAGAACAAGCTAGGTTTCATAGAAGGAACTTGCTTGAAAAGCTCTTACAAAGGAGAATTGGCGAATTAGTGGGAGAGATGTAATGTTGTTGTTCTTTCATGGATAGGACGTACAGTATCAGCAGAATTGCAGTCGAGCATCATTTATGCTTCAAATGCAAAGACAATATGGAAGGAATTCAAGGAGAGGTTTGATAAATCTAATCTCACTCGTTTTTACCTTCTATGGAGACAAATTGGATCATTAAAGCAAGGTACTGACTCTATAACATCATATTATACGAAAATGAAAGACCTCTGGGATGAGATTAACCTATTAGTTCTAGGACCTGGTTGTGATTATGAAGAAACTAGACCTTTTATTGACCAATTTAAGAATCTATGTTTATTACAGTTCCTATTTGGGCTTAATGAAAGCTATAGTCAGGTGAGAAGTCAGATATTGCTTAAGACGCCAGTATTGACTGTAAATCAAGTCTATGCTTTGGTCATTCCAGAAGAAAATCAGCGTGAACTAAGTGTGCTTGAGATAAATAGGGAACCTTTAACTATGATGGTAGGATAGAATCAAGGATATAAGGGTAAGAAGATTGGGATTGTTTGTGAACACTGTGGGTATAAGGGACGTCTCAAGAAAAATTGTTACAAGATTATAGGGTATCCTCCTGACTTCAAAGGCAAGAAGAAACAACAAGGACAAGGAAACAGAACTTATGCTAATATGGTGACAGAAGAAACTACAAGCTCATCTCAAGGCCAAAAGATGGGACAACTGTTCATTGAAGGTCAATACAAGCAGATACTGGAGATTCTAAATAAAATACCTACAGGTGATTGTCATACACTAATGGCAGGTATAACCACCTTGTTGTATGATGCATCTTTATATGAATGGGTAGTAGACACAGGAGCTTCTCACCATATCACATGTGATAAAGAAATTCTATCTCACATAGAGAACATTGAGCAACACAGGAATCATAAAGTACAGGTTCCAACAGGTAGCAAATGTTCAGTAACACACAAAGGAAAAACTTCAATTCTGCAAGGCTATGAACTAAAAGATGTGTTGTATGTTCCATATTTTAAGTTCAATCTACTGTCAGTTTCCAAACTGACCAAGGAGTTGCTATGTTGTGCTCTATTCTTCCCTGATTTTTGTGTATTGCAGGGCCTTTACAATGGGAAGGTGATGGGGATTGGTAGAGAGAATTGTGGACTTTATATTCTGAAATGGAGAGATAAACTAGTAGCAGCATTGGTCACAAAAGACACTGATGAGTGCAGTCTTTGGCATATGATATTGGGACATCCATCAATAATGGCAATGAAGTACATTCCTGCCTTGAAGAATAAAGTAATGGATGGTTTACAACATAATTGTGAAGTATTTCCTTTAGCTAAACAAAGTAGATTGAAGTTTCCTCTCAGTAGAAGTAAGACTGAGTGTATTTTTTAGCTTATTCATCTTGATGTCTGGGGTCCTCACAAGATGCCTACATATGATAGGAAATACTATTTTCTTACAATTGTGGATGATTTTAGTAGATACACTTGGGTATGTTTGCTGCAGACTAAATGTGAAGTTGTAACAGTGTTGAAGGATTTTCTTATAATGGTAAAGACTCAGTTTGACATGAATGTGAAAGTGCTAAGATCTGATAATGGAAGAGAGTTTTTTAATTCCAGTTGTAATGAGTTATTAGCATCCTTAGGCATTGTGCATCAAAGAAGTTGTCCATATACACCCCAATAGAATGGGGTGGTGGAAAGAAAGCACAGATATATACTAGAAGTGGCTAGGGAATTGCAGTTTCAGAGTTCTGTTCCTAGTAGATTTTGGGGAGATAGCATAGAGACAGTTGTTTACCTCATCAACAGATGGCCTACGTCCATACTACAAGGAAAATTTCCTTATGAAGTTTTGTATAATAAATCACCTGCTATTGATCACTTAAAGGTGTTTGGATGCTTGTGTTTTGCAAGCAATTTGCCAAAAGGTGATAAGTTTGCAAAGAGAGCAAGAATATCAGTTCTCATAGGTTATTCAGAAGTTCAAAAGGGCTATAGATTGTTTGACTTAGAAACTAAAGCTATTTTTGTAAGCATGGATGTTAGCTTTAGAGAACATATCTTCCCTTTTAAAGAAAGTGTAACCACTTCACAAGATCCATTTCCACACAAGCTTCTATACCTCCACATCTTGATACCTCATTTCCTATATCCACAGACCTTCACATTCCACCTACATACAATACACCAACCACAAAGAACACAAATACACCTACTATAGAAGTCCTACACCTTGATCACATAGACCAAAACACAGAAACAACGGAGGTTGAGCATGGTGAGCAAGATACCTACACTGACTTAGCTCCAAACACTGAGTCAGAGGTAAATGTTACGCCTGACAATAGTATACCTGTGATTAGAAGTGATCACGAGCCTAGAAAGACTACTAGGACATCCAAGCCTCCAGTTTGGTTGAAAAACTACCAAACTACTCAGAAATTCTCTGGCCAATGCTTATATCCATTGACTAACACCCTTACTTATGCTAATCTCACAGCATGTTATCAAGCATACCTGCAATCTTTTTCAGCTGAAGTGGAACCTACTACCTTTCAGCAGGCCTCCACTGATAGCAGATGGATTACAGCTATGGAATAGGAGATTCAAACTCTTGAAGATAATCAAACTTGGGAGATAGTGGACTTACCAACAGGGAAGCAAGCTATTGGTTCCAAGTGGGTATACAAGATCAAATACAAGGCTAACGGAGAGGTAGAAAGATACCAGGTAAGACTGGTTGCTAAGGGCTACAATCAAAAGGAAGGGTTGGACTACCATGACACATTCTCACATGTAGCAAAGATGGTCACAATCAGGACCATTATCAGCATAGCAGCTGCCAAGGGTTGGCTTCTATCTCAAATGGATGTCAGTAATGCTTTCTACAAAGGGATCTATATGAAGAGGTTTATATGCATCTACCTCAAGGATTTCATAAACAGGGGGAGTTGAAAGTGTGCAGGCTTATGAAATCTCTCTACAGTCTTAAACAAGCATCTAGGTAATGGAACATAAAGCTCACTGATGCACTTGTTCAGAATTGTTACAAACAATGTTCTTTTGATCATTCCCTATTCACAAAGCATCAAGGAGGAGAGATAGTCATCATATTGGTGTATATAGATGATTTGATGATTACTGGGAGCTCCCCCAACTTAGTCAATAATGCCAAGAAAGTCTTACACAGTAAGTTCAAGGTTAAGAACTTAGGCAAGCTGAGGTACTTTCTGGGAATTGAAATATCAAGGTCAAAGAAAGGAATCTTGCTCAATCAAAGAAAATATGCTTTGGAACTAATTTCAAAAGTAGGATTAAGTGGTGCAAAACCAGTTGCAACTCCTATAGAGTTGAATCAAAAATTGACAACTGTGGAATATGATACATGTGTTGGAAAGACAGGAGATTTAGAGCTGAAAGATAATTCAGCTTATCAATGATTAATGGGAAGGTTGCTATACTTAACAATCACCAGACCTGATATAAGTTTTGCAGTACAAACTTTGAGCCAGTTCATGCAAAGGCCCAAAGAGTCATATATGGAGGCAGCATTGAAAATAGTGAGATACATCAAAGAGGCACCAGGCATAGGATTACTGATGGAAGCAGGACCTATCGTTCAACTTGTTGCTTACTATGATTTAGACTGGGCATCATGCCTTAATACAAGAAAATCTGTGACAGGATATGTTGTTAAATTGGGAAATTCTTTGATATCTTGGAAATCAAAGAAGCAACTTACAATAAGCAGGAGTTCAGCAGAAGCTGAATACAGAAGTATGGTTGCTGCAACTGCTGAGATCACATGGTTAACAGGATTGCTGGAAGATTTAAGAGTTAAAGTATCCAAACTGATTACATTGTTCTGTGACAATAAAGCTGCAATACAAATAGCTGGGAATCCAATATTTCATGAGTGGACAAAACACATAGAAATCGATTGCCACTTTGTCAGAGAGAAAATCAAGACAAGGCTTATTACTCCATGTCATGTTACTTCCTCCTTACAACTAGCAGATTTCCTAACAAAAGGACTGACTGCAGCACAACATTCCTTCCTAGTCTCCAAGCTTGATGTGTTAGACATCTTTCACCCTCCAGCTTGAGGGGGAGTATTGAGAGTTGATAGTTAAATAAGGTCATTACACACACACGCGTGAGAGGAATATGTAGGTCGGTTATTTTGGTTAAATATTGTTCACTCTTGTAACAGAGCATAACAGAGAATGAAATAAAATTTTCTCTCTTCTTCTTCACTCTCTTCTTCTCTGAATTCTCTAGAATATAAGGTTTAATCTTCCATGCAACTTTAATTCTATCAAATAGGACCTCTTAAAATCTTAACACGAGTATTTGGAACCTCGGCACGTATACTTAGTATCTCAACATGAGTACTCGGTACCAACCTATGCTCAATACGGGTACTTAAACCTCAATACGACCTTTCAAAATCTCATCATTGGTACTTGAAATCTTAGCATGGGTACTTAAAACCTCAACACGGGCTCTCAAAACCTCATCATTGGTATTTGGAACCTCAACGCGGCTTCTCAATACTTATGTACGCTCCACATGGGTATTTAAGACCTAAGCACGAGTTTTAGGAACCTCAACACAGGTACTTGGAACCTCAACAGGGGTTCTCGAAACCTTAACTAAGTTTTTGAAACCTCACAAGGTACTAGCAACCTTAGCACAAGTTTTTAGAAACTCAACACGGATAATTGGAACCTCAACATGACTATCCAATAACTTAGCTCCCGTTTAGCCATGGATTTTGGCAAAAAAAATTCAGAAATTTTTTGAAGACACTGTTGTTCATGGAATATGATCAATTTTTGAAAAAAAAAACAATTTTTTTTCAAATTCTCAAAATCTGGTTTAGGGTAGTTCTTGGGTGAAATTTTTTCTTTCACACACAAAACTTCAAGTTTTTTCAGATAAAATGCATGTCCAAACACAGTTTCAACATCCAAAAATTATTTTTCAGCACAATTTCAAAGATTCTTTTCAAGTTTCAATTAAATCTATGTCCAAACACTAGCTTAGTACGAGTATCTCAACATGATTACTTTAGCGCTTGAAACTTTAGCACAGATTCCTAAAACCTCAGCACAACTTGGACCCAATTATGGATCTACGTTGATAGGTTTGGGTGATTTAAGACCCATTACGTTTGGAGTACTATGCTATTTATTTATATAGAGAAACTAATAATGCACACAAATGTATTGTTGAGCACCCCTCTCTCTTCATGAATTTCAAATTTAGAGTAGTTGAGCACCTATAATTTAAAATTTTTGGATTCGCCATTGTTTGGACCTGCAAGTATTTGAGAGTGTTTGGCTAATCTACGCATTTGGTAAACACTCAAAGTACTTATAAGTCAAGTTCTTATAAAATAAAATTAGCCAAAGTAATTTTAGTTTGACCATTATTTTTACTAGTTTATTCTTAATAATACTTTCTAATTCACAAAATATTTTCCCAAAATAAATTTCTTGACTTTCTCTTAATTCCATATTCGTTGTTAATTCTTTTCTTTATAATTTTTTTCTTAATTTATATTTTTTTGGGAAAAAAAATCATGGGTATTTTTGTCATTTTAACAAAAGAATAACTTATCAATACTTTTTTTATCAAACAAATTAATTACTTATTATCAGTTTCAACATTTGTATCCAAACACGTAAATGCTTATTTTAAAAATCAGTTTCAACCGTTAAAAAACTTTTCAACACTTCAAATTTATCAATTATTTATAATCAGCTAATTCAAACGGGTTCTTTTAACAACAGTACCTCACTGGTAGTGAGAATTTGAATGAATTGAAAAGATAGTAGCAATAATTGGACAAAAGGAAGAACCGGCTTTATTTGGGAAATTGACACTGAGTTTCCGTACAACTTGGACCTGCAACCCTAACCGACAATCCAGTTCTTTGGATCGGACGGCCCAAAGACAGGAAAAGGACCCGACATGATTCCGTTGTTAGATTTAATCAGCATCTAAAACGGAAATTACGCCACGTGTTTTAGACTTAGATTTGTTTATAAAGCATTAAGAAATTTTTATTTTTTAAAAAAATTAATTAATTTTTTTAAAATAAGCGTTCATTCATAATTTTTTTAATTTTTCACTTGAATATACATTTTAAAATATTTAAAAAATTTGAAAAACTCCAAAAAATTGTTTTTCAAAATTTACTCAGATCACTCACAAAATTTCAAAAACAACCCAAAATAATATTCATATCCAAACAAAGCTCTGAATTTCATATACCATTTTCACTTGAATTTTTTTTTTACCTTTTTTAGAATTTTACGATTCTTATGTCCAAACGCCCACTAAAAGTAAAGAAGTGGGTAAAAATAGATCATATAATAGTAATATTTATGTGTTATAAATTTTTTGAAAACTTCTAATATTAAATATGTCGTAATAATTTTATGCTTATAAAAACTTCTTATCATGATAAAAAAAAATATTGATTTCAAATTCAGAAATGTACTACTATTATATGAATGAACAATAGAGAAATAAGTCACATAAACTGAAATAAAGGAGATAAATTCAATACAATACGTTAATTACTTATCTTAATCTTAAGAAATGGAAAATGTCAAATACTTTACAAAAAATATTAAATCAGTGACGACCGAAGAGATGTTAAACGTGGATGCTCTCCACTAAAAATGTCAACAAATAATTTTTTTTTACTTAATTAATACTCCCTCCGATCCATAATAAATAACTTTTTAGTTTTTGGCATACCTCTTAAGAAAATACGTACTTTTAGAGAAAATATGTATTCACTATGCTACTCTTAATTAATTATTACTTTGACACATTGAGATATGTAAATAAGGGCAACTTTTAAAAAAATAAAATTAATTCATTCTTGATTATGCAAAACCACACTTATTTTGGACCAAAATAAAAAGATCAAAAGGCCACTAATTATGGATCGGAGGGAGTATATACAGAGGCGGCCCAACGAGTTTTGTGGCCTAAAGCCAAACTTTATGAGGGGCCTTAATTTTTTTTTTTAAATTATTTATTTATTTGAAGTCTATTTTTCTAGAGTTTCTTAGATACAAAGTTATTAATCATTTTCTTATAATCAGTAACTCCTAATAAATCATTGTTAATTGACAATATAGCTAATTTATTTAACTTTTGTTGAGACATTGTTGATCTTAGGTAAGATTTTATCGATTTTAATTTTGAAAACTTCTTTCCGCTGAAGCGAGAGTAACAAGAGTTATTACATTATTTCATAAGCAATATAGGCATTAGAAAAAGAATCAAATCTTTTTATTTGACCGAGTGTATCAATTAAGTTGTTATCTTCTAATTGTACTATTTTTCTTAATACTTTTAATTCCGAAAATAAATATAAACCATCAATATCGAATTGATTATTATGCTTTAAGGAACATTCAAGATTAAGGCAATATTTTTTCAAATTTTCATCATCTAGTGATCTTAATTTTTACCGCTAAATAGAAAACCAAAAATATTTTCATATGTTTCGCATTGTTCAAATCTATTTTAAAGTAAAAAAAATAGCTTTGTGTACTATGTACTTTTTGAAAGATTTTGAGATTTATTTTTAACATACTCATCAAATTGTTACTTCTTATATATCACACGTTTCTTATAAAATTCGGGTTCGATATTCATTTCAAGTGCAATTTTCTTGGCAGAAATTATAGCAGTTGCAAATCCTTCTTCTCTATACGTGTTAAAGAAAGAAATCAAACTTTTTCACTTCCCGGAACTTTTTTTTTAAAATTTATACATAGTCTATTATGTGTAACAAAAAATGGGATCCCCACAAATGTGGGGCCTAAAGCAATTGCTTTACTTGTTTTATGAAAGAGCCGCCCCTGAATATATATTAACAAATTGTTATATTATTAATATACTTTTACATGTTACAGTAGACTATATATTTTATTTTTTAGATTATAATATTAAACTTATTGCAGATAATTAGATGTTCTTATAGGTAAACTTTTAATCTGATTATATGTGAAATTTTTATATTTTGTACGTGAAGTTTTTAATTTAATTTTTGGAAGAAAAAGAAAAAGAAAAAAATCAGGGATATAACTACAACTACCAAAATAGTGCATGAGGCATGAGCTACAAGCTCGCGTGCGTGACACCTCATGTGTTAAACCTGCCACCCATCTCATTCTTCACGTGATTTCAATATCTCCATTGCTTTTTCCTTTTTCTTTATTTTTATTTGAAATTAATTATAGTAGTTAGCAATATATGTTTATTTCCACGTAAGGGTGGCCCTAGCCTTTCGGCTATGGATTCAATTAAATCTATAAATTTCGACATAAAGTATAGATTTATATATAAAAGTTTACTAAAATCTCAACAAATATTATATTTAAACTCATAACTTTCCGCATAGGGGCGG